TACGTATATGAACATTTTCACATATATTGAAGTAACCACATATTCATAGGCGATACACACATATCTAACGTAGATTCTGCTTACTCTTTCTTTTGAACACCCTCATTCGTTGAGAAGGTGTGTGTATTTCCGACGGGGTAGTTGGTGAAGCGGTGTGCATTAGTTAGTTTTGAAATGCCCTTTATATCGCCGTCGGCTGTGCTTAGTTTGTAGTTTAGCGTCGCATCAAAGCCATCGAGCAATTTAATTGGATGGGTCCACAGTCCACCTAAAATAGAATACAGACTATGTGAGTGCAGAACGTTATTCTGAAGCAAAACATTTACAGACTAGCATACGGATCCAATTTCAACTAAAACGATTGGAGAGTGAAAGTAGGGTTTGCTGACAATCCAAAAAGCCATCGTAGATATAGGCTCAATAGTACACTAAAGCAAACCCTATACATACACGATAGTACAAAAAGACAGGCAGCATATGTTCTCAGCTCTCAACACCAACTGCACTCACCCATCTCCCCGGCTATGTGCCATCCCATTGGCGGGAAACTGCCGTCCTGGTGACCAATCAGATAGGCTCTGTTACCGGCTGTGACAAATTCACTCTTGAGATACTCCTCTCGTCCAATCAAAACATCGTTTTGCCTCTGCAATCGCTCCAGGAGTGTGTTTGTCGGTGCTATATACGTGTACGTTTCCGTCCCTGCCTGGACGGGGTCGGCTTTGAGCGATTTCTTTTTGGGAGTGTTCTCTTTCGGAGGTTGTTCTTTCGGAGCGTCGGCGTTCAACACATGCTTCCTGATGACACAAATGAATAAGGCATCTATGAATATCGTAGTCATGCTACTTGTACATTGTTGCAAATGGTGTTAGTCGCTGCGGCAGGACCGATGATTTTAATAGCTGTATGTGCACGACTGTGGCACTGACAACCTATCTAAAGATATACAAACATGTAATCCATGTATGCATACGCTCTATTTGCATATAGCCATCTGAGGATACAACATTGGCACAGTCGTTTCACCAGTTCCAGATGCCAAGGTCGATTATATCCCAATAATAAAGCAGACTTGTCACTATTGTCATGTGTACAGTTTATTGTACAGTTGTATGTCAACAGTCTTCTATCGCAAGTCTCTATGTTCGAGTCAGAGATCTGAGTTCTGATGTCAACACATACCAAGTTCCAATATCGAGTCAGATTCTCTGAATTATATAGTTAAGGCATACATACATCCAACGCAAGTGGATTCAAGATTCTTTTACGAAATTACGTTTTCTAAAAACCATGAGAATATCATTCTTTATACCATGAGAATTAATACGAATGAATAAAATAAAGAGACAAACGATCGACAAAACAAGGTATCCAAACAGCATGCCCCTCTAAATACACAATGAACTAACATCGACCCGTTTGTACTTTTTTGGAATATGAGGTACCAAAAAGCCCATACACACAATGTCCGCAAATACTGGGCTACGAGTGCGACCCAATCGCCACGAATGACATGTACAACCACGCACATATTCTTGTGGCACATGTTTAAATCTGCACACCGCTACTAACGCTAGATATAAACGATCCCGATTGCCTCACATGCCGTATGTATCTAAAGGTGACACATGACACCATCCGAGTTCAGGTTTGACCGCATTCTTTGCCGGTAGCACTCCAAATAATACTTTGCGAGGAGCATACCTTCCACGCTATGTGTAAGTATAAATATAAATATGTCGGCTATTTATCTACAGGAAACCGATATCACGCATATAGGTCTACCAACTAGTCTAGTTATGGATACATGCATATA